ATCCTTGCATTTGATATAGCGTCTTTTCACGTCTTTGAGACGTCTCAAAGCGCTTCGCAGAATATACTGTAAAGTTAATTGACTGTATGTTTTGGGTGAAATCAGTCTGGTTTTGTTTCACTCTGTTTCTGTTAGCTACTGTGAAATAATTCAGATTCCTTCTCAGGCTAGCTTTACATTTGTTGTTCTCTCCATCTCTGAGTCTCTAATCTTCTGTCTCTCTTGTCTTTCCATGTCCATCTCTTTCTGTGAATCTAACCCTACATTGTAAAAAAAAGTACCTTTGCACTGCTGGCNAAAATAATCTAGTTGTATGCATATACAAAAGGTTTTACCAAGGATACAATTTAGCTGCACAGCATGAGTTACTCACGTTCCTAGTAACTACATGTGCAACTTTGGACATGTGTGCTGCTGGATGTCCAATTATTGGTAGTGGAGCTTCTAATGCCAACACAAAATAATCCTAACGCTTTTGAGGCTGGCCTCACAATAGCCAATAGAAAGTGAATAAGGACAGTTTAGCCTCCTTAGCGATTTAGCACTGGCCACAACTAATCTATTATAAGCATTTCCACAATCCTATTCTCTAATTGTGCAAATTTAACAACTTTCCATTACCTTTCTTCTTCATGCTTCAAGCTCCCACCATTAGTTTTCGGTTAAAAGTTGTTTTAATTCTGGAAAATAAGAGCAACTTTTTTTTCTCAGTCATTTTTGCTGGCTTAAAACCAGCCTGCCAGGGACTAAAGAGGAAAGTCAGGAGCTGTGAATGCGAAATAATGCCAAATGTAAATTTACATTGCTAGCACTTCAAGGATTAAATATTTGTGCTTGTTTTCTTTCTCCTCATCAAGATATGGTTGCTTCATGCATTGTTCCCACTCAAGGCAGGATACTTATACCCTGGCCTCCATTCCAGAACTTGTGGGAGGATGACCGGCAAGGAGGGGGATTAGTGGCTAATGGAAGAGCTGACAGAGTGTTCAGAAGTTTTTTTTAATTACAATAAATACCTTGAACTGCTATCCCTAAGAGTTGGACTGAAGATTTCCAACAACAAACAACTTTAAAGTGGAATTCATCTTTACAAATACTAACAAATTATTTTGCACATATTCTTCTTTGGGATTGTCCTGAAAGCTGCACTGTTTGTCATTTTTTTTATATGGGTTTACAAGGTGGCCTTCCTCAAGCAAACAACAGCAGGAATTTAAGATTATTTTACAGGTAGTTAGAGAGGAACGGATTGCTTTTTAAAAATGTAAAGACTTTACGGAAGAGTGCATCTATTTTGAGATTAAGGTGTCCAGATGGAGATAGGGAATCTGAAAAGTATTAAGAACAATTTTGTGGAGATGGATAGTTTTAAAGATGGCTATATGTTTGTAGGAAAGCATTTGCATAATGTTAGTTTTATCAGAAACCTGTCTCTCCTCCTTCAGCTGTCTGTCCTCCCTTGGTATATTTCCTCCTCCTCCAACTGAGTTAATAATGACTGGGTCCCAAGAGTTGGTATTTAATTAATGATCCAGACTTTCTTGTGAATAAGCGGTCCTTTGCTTCTCTCGTTTTTTTGAGTTGCCAATTTTCTGTTTTTAATGAATGCTGGTAAGATTGTTAGAATTTATTGCTGGCTAAAACTAAATACTCTTTAAATTGACAGAATTGCTGCTGTTGCACAACCAACAAACAGGCGCTTCAGAAGATTCAGGGAAAATGCTCTTCAGGAGATCAAAATAAATGCTGTGCCCTTTACACATTGATCTGTGGAGCATGAATTTGAAAATTGTAAAATGTGACTGAATAGAACATATACTTATTTAACTGCATAAAATTGTAATTTCAGAGTTTCAGTCCTTGATTTAGAGGTGAGACATTAAACCAAGGGGTACTTGGCTCATACAATGAGTTAAAGGATTCATTACACTATTAGATGACAGAAGGGAATTTCTCCTGCTGGAATCTGAAAAGTTTCAAGAACAATACACTTTATTGCTCCATAAAGTTCATTATAGAAAGTATTGTTCTAGAGTCTAGAGTATTGTTAGGCCTCTTTATCTAGACATCTAAATAATCCTTGAGAGAATATGGACTCCTGGCTGATAGTGGGACATTGCTGTGCATAAACTGGTTGTTGTATTTCCCCATCAAAAAGTCACTACACATGTAATTCACTTTGGGATTATTATATTAAATGACCTTTATATCAAATGGAAGGTTTATTATTTTAACAGTCAAGAAATCATTCTTACACTAATAATGAATACTGTTGTACTGAATTAATTGAACACCAAAGGCGATAGAGAGAGGAAATATGTAGTGTTACAAGTTCATGTTGAGCTGTGAGAAGAATGTTTTTATATATGGAAATAATTTCAAGTATTCATTGATGCTTCAAACCAGTTTAAATAAGTCCTGAAGATGTTTGCTACTGCAGGGATGAATTTAACAATCTAATGTTTTAGCTGATGTGAGAGAAATTACTGACCTGACAGTAATATTGCCACAACAATAACTTAAGAATCAGGACTCAAAGCACTCAAGTTATTCCACCATGTATCATTGGGCCTTGGTAATCTTTACTTTTATTTAAAAAAAATATGATTTATGAAGTTCCTGAGAATGTAGTGTATCTTGCAGCTGATAAATGCATTCCAGTGATTCCTTTAGCTGAAAGGCCTTGGAAAGGTCATGTTTATAGCCTGTAGTTCTTGCTGGAATTAAACTTTGTTAATAAATTGATTGTAAATTGGGCTCAATACATGATACATGTCCATATATAGAGGGATCTATTTTTGTGAGTTTTAAGAAGGCTGACCACTTCCTGGTCAATCAAACTTGGGAACTGCACTAATATCTCAACCACATTAATTTAACAGCAATAATACTGGAGGTTCAAAACCTCGCTGGAAGTGACTGCAAAACTAACTCAAAAAAATTAAATCTGGGATAACTGGTCCCACAGTGGGTTAGTACACCAGCGATCCACCAGACTGTCAGATGTGTCAGCCCCTGCAACAGTTAACTGCAGTAAGGTACAAAGAGGCCATGCCAATTACTGACCAGCTGCAATCTGTCATCCTGTACACATTTGCAAGGTGTTACCACAGGAATGTGTGTTACATAGAGATAAGAGGTAAGTACCAGTGTCCAATTAGTAAGATTTAGTATCAATCCCCAATTAGTATAGGTATAGAGACCCAGCTGGTATCTATTAGTAGGATTTAATAAGGTGTCTTTGACCTAAAGAACTCAAGGAAAGATGAAGATGTCCTGATAACATTGATGGATAGTCGAAATACTCATTAACTTGGTGTCTTGTCGAAGTTTGTACCAGGAACCCTCGGATAACATTGATGGATAGTGGAGATACAGACCTAGTTTTGAATCTAGCTCAGATGGAAGTGCGCTAAATCTTTTAGCTGTTGGGTTCCTATATGAGCTCTGGGCCGCTAGCCCGCATGAAGGGTGCTGTACAAATGCAAGTTGTTGTTGTATGAAACGAGTCTGACCAGTCTTGACCCAGTTCCTAGTGGATGTTTTTAAGCTATCTTTTCAACTGCGCTTTCGGCATTTCTCCCCCACTAAAGTGCCTAATCAGCTGTGTGAAGTTCTCCCAACATGAAAACTGCTGGATAAGCATAAATTGTTGTTGTTGATGTGAGTCACAGGCATAAAACTGCCCTTAGTGTAGCACTAAATTGTCCATCTCACACAGAGGAGCCAAAAGATGAGCTAGGAAATGTAAATGTCACCTTGCTATATGCTAGGGGGATTTGTTCTGAGGTTGGGTTGAGGCACCATGTAGCAGCAGAGTAGAGGGAGCTGCACTCTGTATCTAGCCGTGCTGCACCTGGTTTGAGAGTGTTTCATGTTGACATTGAGTGTCCAAAATAGGAAAGTACTCCATTTTCCAGCACTTACTTAGAATACCATAACATTTACCACAAAAATTTGTGACGAAGATGAACACTGGAGTACTGCATCACATTACAGAGGCAACAAAGCTGAATTCATTGAAAAGGAAAGGGAACTTTCATGACATATAAACACACATTTGGAGTCAACCTGGTTCAGTTGCTAGCACTCTTTAAGAATGTGGGTTCAAATCCCACGTTGGAACTTTGAACGCACAGTCCAGGCTAACACTCAAATACAGTGTTGGGGGAGCACTGCGTTGTTGGATGAAACCTTTGGATGAAACCAAGTTTCTGTCTGCCTATTCAAATGACACTATTATAAAAGAGAAGCGATTTTATCCTGATGTCCCGGCCAACAAATCTCGAAGATTGGTCATTCATTTAGTGACTGTTTCGTTGGACAATGCTGCGCACAAAATAGTTGCTGCGGCCAACTGCAAAATACTCTCACTAAACATTACGGTAATTCCTGTAAAGTGCTTTAAGACATCTTGATGCCAGGATAAATGCCATATCAAATATAAGCATTATTATTATTATTTGGCACAACGATGATGAGCAACTTGTTACAACATCCTTTGTTTAGCTGCAGACTGGCTCATCTTCCAGGAATGGAGAGATACTGTTTTACCAAAAGCTGAAACAGCTATATGAAGTTATGAAGTTTGGTAAGACACGAGGAGAAGCTCATAGAGAACATTATTACTGTTACTGTTAAGAACAGTTCAGTGTTATACTAAGCAATGCCCATGACACTGGTAGTGGGTTAAATATTGTTTATAAAAAGAAAATACAAAAACAGCTGATACAAGTCTATAACATAATTATTACAAGTTTTGATGATGGAAGGAAGTGAATGATGCAAAATTATGCATGGGCAATGCATGAATAGTGCTGGGATCAACTCCTTAGTTCACATGAAATATTTCAAAAAAACTACAATATTTTCACACTTTACAACCTTTCCAGTAATGTTAAAAGGAGAAACGGTTTTGAAAGGTTAGTAACTACAAATTATCCTCTTTGTGTGCATTAACACTGTTAAACTATATATTTAGTTATGAAAGATTTACTCACCAACAACTTGTAGGTACATTCAAACGAGTCTCAAAGACGCCCAATGATAACGATGATGCAAGAACCTATACTCAATAAATAAAAATTATTTTGTTTTAACCCTTTAACTTTTCCATGGTTCACTAACTCCAATCTTGGTTACATAAATTCAATTAAGTATTGAGAGCTGATTGGACATTTAACCCAATATAGAGGGTGTGCAGCCACACAAACAATAGTTGTGATAGAAGTCGTGCTTCCATTAAGCTATAGTGAAATGAGGGTCAGTCTTTGATGGTCACATCTAATCAGCTAGGCTAGAATTAACCAAACACATAATCAATGAGTTAAATTCACAATCAGAGATGTGAAGCTAGAGCTTACGTTTTAAATATTAGAGTGAGAGAAAGCATTAAAATTGTTACAAATAGTACTCTATAACAGGTCATGGTGTTAAACATAGCCTGGGCAATTTCCTTGTGGATAACTTTGGCAACAGAAAACCTGGCAAAAGAACAAAATTAATTTCCAAGGATACCCCTCCACAGAAATGAGCTTAATTGCTTAGTTTCAATAAAAGTACACTAATTGCTATTATTAATTAAAATAATTAGCTAAAGAAAAGAAACCATATCAACCACACCTTATAGTTTTTATGAAAACTAATGCATTAGTATGACTGTAAGGACTGTACAAAACTGCAACACTACTGCTTAACAGTTATTTAGTACATTATTATAGATCAAGATTTCAATATGGTTCCAAGTTGAAGAAAGAACTTAAACAAAAAGGAGCCTTATATTGACCTATAGCTTTGCGTAGAGGGGAAATAAATGTGGTATGTTGTGTCACAAGAGAAAAAAATACGGTTATTTTGTGTCCTTATGAATCTAACTTCAACAGTTTCTTTGGGGTTGAACAATCCACTCATGTCCCAATTTCTGGGAAAGGGTTTCTCTCTCCAGTCTTTTCAGAAACGATTCCCTGCTATTTTTGAATTAACTATAGTGACAGAATCTTTATTTTGAACCCTGGGTTACTATAACTAATTTTGAACATTACACACTTTTGAAAAATATTTTTAGGTTACTATCTGGGCCTTTGACCAAAACAGAAAAAAGATCAAGAAATAAAAGGATAGGACAAAAAATAGCAGGGACATGGGATTAAAGTTGATAGCACTCGTGGGAGAGCACATAAAGGTCTTACAACTTGGCAAATTGAGACTTGGATTGAGGCCAACATTAACATGAAGCTCTCCTTTCTGACTTTTAGGGGTTTAAAGGGAAATCAGTGAATCGTCTCCATTTAGTTTCTCGTGGGTGGGTTGAGTCACAAACCTGGCATTAATGTTACAGTAATTGACTGATCTGGCTCTAAGAAACCATAACAAATGGTCAAGTGGTGAGGGAGAGAAATTATTGTAATGTAGTCGTGGTGCTTTCTGAGGTTAGACATGTTGTTTGGGAGAGTACAATGCAAAGCACTGCCAACCAGTCGTTAATGTAGTAAGAAAACATTAATTACTTTCCTCAACATTCACCAATCACCTTGATCAAATTCAAACAAAGAAATATGTTGTTCAGAATTTAGATTTGAATACAATTTCCAAAGGCTTTATCTTTCTTGTTACAGTATGCATCTTATAAGCACCGTGCCATGATGTAAACTCTTAATCTACTTTGATACTCCAGTACAGTAATAGGGGAATGCTGCATTGCTACATAACATCTTTGGATCTCTCATCGGATCTCATCCTTCCAGAATAACAACTCAATGAAAAAGGACTGGACGTATTCAAGAAGGTTATAGTTTAGAAGTCCGTAGTTTTTCAACCCTGCTCTACGTCTTTAAGTCCTGGGTACTTAGGCAAGTTTCTTTACTCCACATGCCTAATAATAATCCCTCCAAAACAAAACAATAATAAATTGGTCATTTTCAATCCAGAACTGTTTCTGGGACACTGCTGTGCGCAATTGGCTGCCGCGTTTAGCCCACAAATATAGTCAATTCACTTTACAGTTTATTCTGTGAAGTGCTTTGAGACATCTAGAAGACGTGAAAAGCGCTATATCAAATGCAAGAATTATTATTATTACTATTATTATTACTTAAAGAGAAGGCATCAAAACTCTTGAGCAATGTTCTTTACGCAAAATCCTTCAAATTCCGTGGGATGATCATAAACCAAAGTGTTTCTTCTCTCAAAATCTGGTTGTACCAGTATTGAAGCTACTGTTATTCAACTCCAACTTCGCTGGACTGGTCACAACAACAACAAAATTATATTTGTATAGCGCCTTTCATGTCGGGACAACGTCCCAATGCGCTGGACAGACAGAGTTACGGGTTCAAGCTGAGGGTCGGGGTGGGGGAGGTGGGACGGCAGGGGGGGAAGCAGGGAGATCGAAAGCACAGGAGGGTCTTGAAGGTGGCGAGGGAGGAGCAGAGATGGAAGGACTACGGGGTGGAGTTCCAGATGGTGGGTGCAGTGGCGGAAGGCCGGTCCGCCAATAGTGGGGCGAGCAAGGCGGGGGACGTGAAGCAGGCTGGAGCCCGCTGAGCTGAGGGAGCAAACAGGGTGGTAGGGGGTTACGAGGTCGCAGAGGTAGGGGGGAGCAAGACCGTGGAGGGCTTTGAAGGTGAAGACCAGTATCTTGAACTGTATCCTCTATGTGATGGGAAGCCAGTGGAGTTGGGCAAGGATGGAGGTGATAGGGTCGCGGAGCCTAGTGCGGAAGAGGACACGGGCTGCAAAGTTCTGGATGAGCTGCAGCCTGTGGAGGGAAGAGTTGGGGAGGCCGACAAGCAGTGCGTTTGCATAGTCGAGCCTCAATGTAATGAAGGCATGTATGAGGGTTTTGGCGGCCTGCAGTGTGATAGTGTCGGAGCCGGGCGACGTTGCGGAGGTGGGGAAGGCAGAGCAGGTCATGGCGCAGATGTGGGGTAGAAAGGATAGTTGAGGGTCAAACAAGATCCCAAGTTGTCAGTCAGTCAGACAACAAGAGAAGACTTGAGCATGACTTCTGGTGGATGGTGAAATGTATTGTTTGAAGTGTTCCTCACCACAATCAGATCATTGATAGTTTCCTGTGAACGAACAAGCAACAGCACAAATTTCTCCATAGCCACCTTCAAAGTTGCACTGGATTCTGCAATTAGGCAGATGTATGTTTAATAATAATTCTTACATTTGATATCAAATTCTTACATTTGATATACTCCTTATAACACTGAAATGTCTCTAAGTACTTTGCAGTAATTACTGTTAAGTGGAGTGACTGAATTTTAAGCATTGTGCCTCATCCTGGAAAAGCATTGTTAGAACATAAATGCATTGCCTACTGCAAGAAACTCCATGTCATAGTTAAACAATTTCAAATCACAACATTCATATATTTCCTTACAGATGTGCACATTGTAATATTTTCTTGCAGATATTGTAATGTTATGATTGACTAATCTGCAATCTTGCTTTTCACAGGCCAAAGAGAACATCAATGTTCTCGCTCCTTGGAAGTCTCAGTTGCTTCTCAGTGCTCCCTCAGAAGATTAAGTTGTAAAGTTCAGACAAATAAAAATTGTATGTTTAATAATAATTCTTACATTTGATATACTCCTTGTAACACTGAAATGTCTCTAAGTACTTTGCAGTAATTACTGTTAAGTGGAGTGACTATATTTGTAAGCAAGACGATTTGCACACAACATTTTTCCACAAACAGCCAGGAAGTGAATGTTCAATTTATCTAGAGGATTGTTGCCCAGGACACGAGAATCTCCNTTTTTTTTCAAATTGTGTTATTGTTTCTTTATCATATATCTGAACAGACTAAAGGACCTAGGTTTGATGTCTAATGCAAAGGACTGTACCTCCAATGATGCATTTTTTCCATTCCACTGGAGTGTAAGCACAAAGTCCCAGATCTAGGGCTGAATCCACGTCCTTCTGATCCAGAGACGAGGATGCTATTAACAGAGCCACACATCTTACCTCTAACCAGTGAGATTATCTCTTTATACATCATTACCTTGGAAAGTTCAACTCCATAATGGTTACTATCGTGAAAAGCGCAATCTTTGGAATTCAAACAAGTTTATATTCTATTTCAAACCATTTCATATAGAATCAAGAATGACTGACAGCATGTAATATGGCTTTAGTTTAATTTTTGCCTTTGTATGACATCATAGTCTATGAGCAAACCTGTAGGTGAAATTACAGCCTTTGATTCCCTTTCATGATTACAATACATATTATGGTTTCAATAACACAAAACCCAATGGTAATGGCAGTTAAAAGTAGTGCCAAAATTATACGGCTTAAATATTGTGGCAATTGCAATATCATTACTACACAATTCTGTCGCATGATTCACAGTAAGGTTTATACCTTACTGTGAATCATGAGAGAATTATTTTTCAACTGGGGGAGGAAAATTATAGAGACATTGAGATCACAGTATATTTTACCCAATGATTTTTTTCTCTCTAACAGTCAGTTTTAAAAACCAAAAAACATGCAAAATCAGGAACAGTATAGAATATAGCCTATCTATGACATCTGTTCACTGATTCTGTCTCCAAGAGACAGAAATGTAAAGGATAAAAGACAATGTTGTGCTGTACACAACAAAATTCCATTTGTAAAGTGCCTTTCACGTCAAGCAGATGTCCCAAGGAGCTGAACAGCTGGGCATGAGGCCCTGAGAGTGGGGGGCAAGGTTAGGATGAGGGAGGGCAGAAAGGTAGGAGGGCAGCTAAAAGCACGGTCGAAGAGGAGGATCTTGAGTTGTACCTTGAAGGAGGCAAAGGAGGGAGCAAGGCAAAGGGATGTAGGATGGTGTTCCAAGGGGTGGGTCAGAGAGGTTGAGAGCCCAGCCGCCGACGATAGGGCGGGTCGGACGGGAGACATGGAGCAGGCCGGAGCCTGCTGAACAGAGGGAGCGGACAGGTTGATAGGGGGTCAGGTAAGAGAAGTAGGAGGGTCAAGGCCATGGAGGGTCTTGAAAGTGAGGACGAGGATTTTTAATTTTATCCTCTGAGGGATGGGGAGACAAGCAAGGGTGGGGGTCACGGAGCCTGG